CTATATATATAGCCTCGCTATACGCTCGGCTATGAACTATATCAGCCGCGGCAGTAAATCTATACTGCTTTTCTGCCTAGTAAAACAAATAACTATTGTTTTAATAGGCAGTAAAGTAGTAGATTGTCCGTCACAGCTGATAGTTCATAGGAATTCAGCCAAGGCAGCCATCTACTTTGGCGCCATGTGAAACATAATTTTTTTTCTCTGAAAGTAATAAAATCACAAGAACTTGTATGTTGATAAATACACAACATGGAAAATAGTAGCACCACCGTGATGAGTAGCACAACATAGAAAATTTCAGCACCTCCGCAATCAGTACTTTCTGTGTTGTGTATTTGTCACCACACTTTTATTATTTCATTTTCTCCTTCTCCTTTTTCTCAGTTTGACTACCTATCTATAGAAGTACAGGAGCGTATTCTGTTAGTTTTTCAAACTCTCTTTATCTTTAAGTAGATACTTCCACGGGAAATGTTCTTCAGAAATTAAAATTGGAGATAATATGTTAAAAAAAGTAGAAAATACAAAATATCTAGGGCTAATTGTTGACGACAAACTCAACTGGCAAGCACACATAGAACACATGACAAATAAAATTGTTCCAATGATAGGTGCCCTGTATAGATGTCGTGATTACCTAAACAACCATAATAAGCTGATGATCTATAATAGTTATTTCCTCTCAATATTTCGATACTTAATAACGAACTGGGGAGTTTGCTCTAATACGATGATGAAAAAAGTCAAAACATTACAAAACAAAGTAGTAAAGGTACTGTTTGATTTTGATTATAAAACAAATACCAATACATTATATAGTGTCACTGGAATATTACCACTCGATAAAATTCTACTTATTGAACAATGCAAATATATATATAAAGTCTCGAAGAATCAGCAAAAAAGTAATACACCAATGAATTTAGTAAACCAAGTTCACAATCACTATACCAGGGCAAACAATCAAATATATCTAACACAAGTAAAAACTAATGTGGCACTGAATGACCCAATATCCAAATGTATTCAAACTTATAATACTCTACCAAATTTCATCAAAAACAAAGATAGTTATGCATCGTTCAAAAGAGAACTAATGATTTATATGAATGCAATGAATACTTAGTATGTAATTTGTGCGTTTTGTTATGTTTTTTTTTTTTTTTTTTGTTAGGTTAAATATGCTTCAAGACTGTACCCAAATATAAAATGTGCATTTTTGTTTGATGTTAACTTGATTAGGTACTTGTTTATACATCATTAAGTTTAAGTTCCATCACCAGCATTATTGCTGATTTGGAAAAAAAAATACTATGAATTGTTATAGTTGTATGTTTATTTGTTCAATAAAGTATTTTTTCTGAAAAAAAAAAAAAAAAAAAAAAAAAAAAAATCTACGTTGTCATTCTATCACTAGCACTACCAGTCAGACGAATTCGACAAACCCAGTCAGCACATCACCTGCAGCACATTCCTTTTGGTGTTAAGCGAGGGAGATATTATGTCGAAGCGAACAACACTCATTGTTTATCTATTATATCTATAGAACGTCAAAGCTTTGGAATTCTTTGCCGAAGAAATAAGTTTTCCCATGAACTTATAATCCCCAAAAGTTTAGGGATTCCCTTTTGATAACCACAGTCCCTCTGAATCTTTCAATCAGCTCCTAAATGGATAACTAAAATATCATCTACTGAGCCCTTGAAACTGTTTTGTACTTCAATTCATTCAATTGTCATAATTCACAATGGCAAAAGAACCTACAATAAAAAAGCCAATGTGCCTATCATACTATAATATGCAATTTATTTATGCCTCATAACTTTTTTTAATAGAAAATTACATGTCATATACATATAATAGGTAGTAGGTAAATAGTTTTTTTCTAGGAACACATCTTGAACTTAAGAAATTCTGCTGAAATCACCTGCAACCTTTATTTATTGTGATTGCATTATTATGGAAATTGTTTTGTATATCTACAGCTCCAGATAGCTTGTACCGGGTGAACAACTAAGAACGGCCTGTCATCTATCCTTTTTCCAACTTTTGATCGTCAATATCTTCCGTAGCGAACAGCTATCATGTTGCAGTTTTCGTTGGTCTGTTGAGATTTAGTTTCTATATTTGATCGTGTAATAATATGCATACATAACATTATTAATTCACGATATCTATTGATACTCCAGATCACGCCGACAGCCATACTTTTCTTTTAGACCAAGAGCCAAGAGTCAAATTTGGCGCCTCATAGGTTATCACAAGAATGGCATTCCAGGTGCGTTATTCATTTCGCATTGAAAAGGGAACCATGCGTCTGCCTGCCAAGAGTGGTCGCTTAATAGCGCTATGAATTTCGAAAAAGTGCCAAAATCGACCTAAAAGCACCTCCGTATTAGCAGGATGAAATTATACCGCCAAAGTTATTGGAATTATGTAGTGAATCTAGAACCTTGGCGTCTGCTGGTGGATGCGGTCGCATTGCAAGCAGACAGCTAAGTTACCACCTGATCTTTTTAAAAAAAATTATATTGGGTGTCAACGAATTTATTGGACAAGTCATAACTTCTAGAATATCAAGTGTTTAAAAATGAAATTTCGCATTGGTAAATGGTTTGTGATTAGGGGAGTTCTCACATATTTTTCTTTTGGAACTGGCTCAGGTTTTGAGTTTTTATAAGGAACAACATGCATATTGTAAAATTTTTGGATTCCCGAGACAATCCTGGATCAGAATTCAGAATGTGACATTTTCAAAAGTATCAACGCCTACTTCATTTTACCTCACTTTTAATAATGCATCTAGGTGGCCATAATCAGACGTAAAATAATTTCTTTTAATAATGCATCTAGGTGGCCATAATCAGACGTAAAATAATTTAAGGACTTCAGGTGATATCAGAGAATTACAATCGCGAAGTTTTATTGGCGAATTGTTTGACAAAGACTTTCCTTTAAATGTTTCTTTATGAATCTAATGATGCTAATTTATTCGCGATTGGATTGAAAATAAGGATATAAACTGAATATTACTATGGAAAATACTGCATAATAATATTATTCACTTTTGTCAAGTGTGCTATGGATATCATTCAAAATTATTTTCGCTGATTTTGATAAAACTTGCTCATCTGCGGTAGCAATGGGGTTTAATGTAAATTCAAATATTTACCACTATTTTCTCCAATTTACTTTCTTCCCACACATTAGGGGCGCAGAAACTGAATAGGCTTTCACACATCGTGATATTCGTGAAGCATCCATTATTTGTGCATGATGGTATTGAAACATTTTTGGGTGATGTTTTGTTCAAAGTGTGTGAAATAAATAACACCCTGTTGGTCACCTTTGGAACATATAGCTATAAACATATCCCTCTTATATTGATCCCTGAAATAGTTTTCATGTGCTTCAAGATATTCCTAGATCATTCTGAGAATGTTCTATACATTCATAGAGTTCTGAAAATATTGTGAGAACGTAAATTTTCATCCCAATTGCATGTTCTTAGAATATTCTCAGAACGTTCAGTGCACGTTCGAAATGTTCCACGGGAATATTCTAAGAACGTCCTCAGAATCACTTTGTGAGTGTATTCGCGAAAATCACGAACCAATAGATGGCACTAACTGAGTATGAACAACAAAATTATTGCCGTATGTACCCATTGCAAATTGATTATTTCGAAATCCTTTTGCAGCATAGTATAAATAATGAGTTGACTTCGTGAAATCATTATAATTGACGTACAAGGTTTCCAGTATGGAAAAAATACCTTTTTGTGCAGAAAAATCACCATTTTGATGTGGACAATGGTGGTATTCATCATTGATAAAACATTACAATTCCACTATTTTCAAACATATGAAATGGTCTTCACTCAACACTTGCATGGATTGGAATAGAACCATAAACAACAATATGGTATAAGTAGGTATGAAGAAATAATTGAATTCATCAAGAAATATCACTGGCTGTTATGACGGAGATGGAATTCTGGTGGATGGGTTGGAAAAGAAGATATGGTTGGAGAGACTGCAAAGATTTACATAAACAAGGATCCCCAGCAATTGACGACTTGAAGCCATTTTCAAGATCGAGTCATTGCAACCGACATTTATATAATGATTCTAATTGTGCTTTAGACAATGTATATTATTCAAGGTAGGTACTGGTTTCTTCATTGTAAACAATAAAAGTTCATGCAATGATTTGAGTTTTTTCATCAGGGAAAAATGAGGTTCTGGAATATGCCCTTTGACAAATAAATAGTTTTCAAATAACACATAATTATGAAAGGAAATACTGATTTTCCTTTATTTTTACGAGATACAACCGAATACAGCATAACAACAACATTCCTTTAAGGGACCTTCAAATTCATTTATTTATGAAACATCACAAAATAGGTAACTATATGAGGAGAATCTCAATTATTATCATGTAGGTACTCGCTTTCTATATAAGTATAGTCCTTTTTGTTGCATGTGATGGTTTCGGAATATTTACTGATGGTTCTGAAGTTTTTTCACGAGTTTTGGTGGTTAAACAAAACTTCCTGGATTTCGTTTCAACTATTTTGTGAACTTGCTGCATGTTTCGAAAAAATCAAAGCAATTACCAGCACTCAGACACAAAGTAAACCTCAGGAAAAATAATCAAAATTCACTCAAAAAAATGGTCGCCATATTTGTTGTCATTGTCATTCATACTCGTAAGACTTGTAAAGTTAGCACCAGAGGCCGCACACTTCGTGATTCTCGCGGATAATACACTGATTTTCTGCAAAGAATTCAGATGGCAACTAATGAGGAAGCGGGCGGCGTTTTAAACGCCTTCTGCTTTGAAAATGCGGCCACATAACAAATACATAATTTCAATCAGTTTTCACGGTATTTTCATCCTGGTAATAATGAGGCGCATCTAGATCGTCGAGTTATTACGCGACCACTCATGGACGCAGAAGCAAATAATTACTTCAATAAAATACTTTTTTAATCTGGAAGTTTTAAACTCATGTTTATAGAAAAAAAATATTTCATGATACATATTATGTTGACAGTAGTTTCATTTTGTTTGTGGGGTTGCTCAGTAACTGATGCTTGTAATTTATCCACTTACAAAATAAAATGCCACCTTAAACATTCCTATCATAAATAGCTATCTGGTAAATGATAAAGTCATCTCACAAAATAGGTTGATACCACTTGATCTCACTTCCTAAGCATCCAGTCACTAACTGATAGTGCACCGGACTGAATTTACAGGACACGACCACGTCTCTATGGTAATTATTCATTTCAACGACAGTTTTTAATTGTTGAGGATTATCAGGTACACACATAGAAAGTTCTTGACACTTTTCATTGAACGCTAGTAACCTAACACCCATATCGTATGGCGAACATATCACTCTACCATCCGAGGAAAAACACAGTTCTTTGATGAAACCTTTTGCAACGTTTTTCTCCTTGATAAAATGCGTCAGCCTTGGAAGATTTCTTATAATTTTGTTATGTTGCTCGGGATGCTGTCTGAAGTAGGTATCGAATGAAGAGTTAGTTCCTATGAGTCCTGTATTCAGTATACCCATTGCAGGTAACTGCCGATTCTCGTATAAGGGCTGTGATAGTTCATTGAAGTCTCTATCATGACTGTTGTAGTCTTCCAAGGAAATATAACCCATCCAAAGATCAGTTGGACGGGAGTTAGCTTCTCCTTCAGGATCCACCTCTTCGGGTGCTTCTTCGTTGATGTAGGTGAAGGCGTTCTCATAGTCTTTTGGTTCTCGGTTCTGTATGTCGTGTACACTAGTCCACTGAAATTGAAAAACATTTTTGAGATTCTCTCATGTTTGAAAGGTATTCAATTGGACTATCTGTGTCAATACAGATGCTTCATTTTAGGATTGAGAATCCCACCTCAATCCTATACCTCAGCCTGTGATGACGAATCAGTTCATATCCGAGAATTCCTGTCAATCACCAACGGTGATAGCAAATGCACCCAATGTATTTTATGGGATCGAAATTTTCAATTGAATTTCATATTATATTGTCTGTCACCAAAGACAATATGCAATTCTAGTCGGCCGAAATTTTACCAATATTATAATTGAGATTTCATGATAGCCCAATCAATTGTTGTTTATCTGATCAGAACCATCATATATTCGTGTCTTAATATTCGATGTTTGAGTGTCAGAGTAAGTATTTAATTAGATTATGTGGATGGTTCTTATGAGAATATTCTTCGAATAGACAATGAAATGAATGATTTTCCTGCAAAAGAGAAGAATACGAAAAGGGTACAATTTCAATATTTGTTTATGTTTAGAAGCCCTGGACATGAATGGAACTGATACTTAAAATTGTTCTAAAATTTTTCAATGCATCATTCGGTTGCCCCCTTACAAGCAACCCTCAGAAGTCTTCAAGATACTTGTGCGAGTGAAGAATGACGGGGGCCTTACCTTTCAACGTGAGATATCAAACACTTTCTTGGGCTATCAGAAAATTTCTCCAGTCGTTTGGATTTGAACCCACGACCGGCAAGCCATACTAAAAGGAGTCAGCTGTCAGTTTATGGAAAATTCTTACACATAAGAGGAATATTTGTCTAGATTCATGCCATTCCAACTTTATGTTAGTCAATTTCATTTATTTAAATTTGCTTTTCTGATGTGCAGAAAAACTTACTACAGTTCAATAGGTAATCTCCCTCCCAAATGGCTCTAAACCGTGCTGCCACTGGGAAGGACAGGTATTCAGATTAATGAACTGTTTTGCTTAAAGTAAAGGTACATGATGTGAACGAAATGTATTATCATTCTTGATTCTTGTAGACTGTTGGCCCGCGACACAAGGTTTATCGATGTTCTAAGTCGGTATGCCATTTAAGGGACCCACTCACTTAGTCCAAGTTAACAGGAAGAAGTGCCGCGGAGAGTCGCAACCCAGTCCTTACCACGGCCCTGACCTCACCTTTCGGTTGGAAAAAAGTTAAAAATTTTGTTTAAGAAGAAGCTCGGCAATGAAGTGCAATGATCTTATCTCACGAAAATTGGGGCGCTTGCCGGTTTGCATACGCCTAGATCACTCCCCACGGGCGGCATACGAACCGGAAGTGGCAATTTTTCAGTTTTATAGTCGATGATCTAAGAATGTATGCCCTTTGGCGAAACAATGAATTCGGACCCATTAATCAATTTCCCGACATTTGCATACGATTCCGGAGAGGGGAGCTCGACTTATTCGAACATCATTTGACTAGATATCCTTCAAATAATCGATAATCGAAGAAATGTTCAAATCTTGACCATGGTTAGTGGACCACACAGTATATACAGTGTGACCCACTTCTAATGGAACCACCCCTGTATCTTACGTAATCGTTGGGTAAGGATCCTGAAATTTTCTGGAGCGAGAGATATACCAAAAATGCACTCTATGACCAAGTGGGGTCATCTTCAGTGATATACACTGCTCGCCAACAGCCATGAAACAACCCCAATTTTCGGAAAATGATATTAGGGGTCAAAATAGGTCGAAAATCACTTCAGATTTGGAATCAGGACGCCCAATTTACTAACTATTCAAATTTTTCCTGGAAAATTTTCAGTTCGGAAAAATGAAATTTTGTCGCATTTTTTATGGAAGCATCCCCGTATCTCACGTAATTATTGAGGTAGGGTTCTGAAATTTGCCGGAGGAAGAGAAAGTCCAAAGATAAAGTCTCACTCATGTAATATTGTGGAGCTGTAAATTTATGATTAATAAATACAAATATATCTGCAATTTGCGTCTTCGAATACCCCCATCACTCCCAGGAAGTTAATCTTTGACTCGGTTTGAGGTGAAGTGAGATTATGAGACTTCCAGATAATCTAGTTCGCTTTCGGTGCACCTCTGGCCTGCAGTGCGGGGCGCCGCGCCGGACCGAGGCACGCGCGGGTTTGCCCGATTATTACAACGTATGCTCACATTGAATTCGTATGCAAATATCATCCAGTTATACAGAATATCCTAGTTTATCGGTCCAGAGATGTGCATACGAACTCAAGTCATCGATTATTTGAAAGATGTCTAGTCAATTGATGTTCGAATAAGTCGAGCTCCCCTCTCCGGAATCGTATGCAAATGTCGGGAAACTGATTAATGGGGCCGAATTCATTGTTTCGCCAAAGGGCATACATTCTTCGATCATCGACTATAACACTGAAAAATTCGCACTTCCGGTTCGTATGCCGCCCTTGGGGAGTGACCTAGGCGCATGCAAACCGGCAAGCGCCCCAATTTTCGTGAGATAAGTTCATTGCACTTCATTGCCGAGCTTCTTCTTAAACAAAAATTTGAACTTTTTTCCAACCGAAATGTGAGGTCAGGGTCGGGGCAAGGACTGGGTTGCGACTCTCCGAGGCACTCCTTCCTGTTAACTTGAACTAAGTGAGTGGGTCCCTTGAATGGCATACCGACTTAGAACATCGATAAACCCTGTGTCGCGGGCCAACAGTCTATTGATCAGTAGTTACTTTTCAGTGATTCTTGATTTTTGTTTTCCATACAGCTACTTTCTCTTCTTAACGATAACTATCAATTCAATTTTCCTTAGACACAATACTTACGACAGAAAAAAACTTGTTCTTGAAAATACCTCATGGCTAGTCGGGAAACTTCTAAATACTTTTTTTTTTTCTCAAATTCAGGTTAGTTATTGTCAGCAAGATCTATCTTTGAAACTTAAACCTTCCTTTTAATTTCTATTTATATTTTCACATTGTAAATCCGGCCAATATAAGGTTCAAAAATGTGACTTGAGTTAGAAACTATGTATAGATACCTCAGAGTATGGAGGAAAGACACCTAGATGTTGTCGTGAATAATTCAATCATATACCCTTCAGACGGAACTAAATTTCATGGAACATATATCGACACAGGATTGAAATGGGAAAATCACATTAGTTATGTATGCAAGAGACTCAACAGCAGTTTTTACGCTATACTACAACTGAAAAGTGTCTTAGACGAAAAATCGCTGATAAACGTATATTATGCAATGGTGCACTCGGTACTAAAGTATAATATAATACTATGGGGTGCCAGAAATAATATAAATAGGGTATTTGTTGCACAAAAGAGAATTATCCGGTTGATATTCAATCTGAAAAGAACCGATTCTTGTAAACCCTACTTCAAAAATAACAGAATACTCACTTTAACCATGCATATACATCCAAAGCTTGATTACTTATATAAAGAAACACGAAGCTTAAATTATAACTAATGGTGCACAACACAGATATCCTGCAAGAAATGGAAACCTACTGGAAATGATCAAGCACAAAACGAAACATTTCGAAAAGTCACGCATTTATATAGGGTTCTTCAATTGTCTGCCCATTAAGATCGAGTCGCTGCCAAATGTGAATAAAATGAAACAGAAAAGAATTTCTCAGCAGTCAATATTTCTACTCGTGTGATGTCTTCATCAACTTCAAACCATGTACACAATAATTCTCATATATATAATTTGATTCAATGTATTCCTAGTTTTATATATTTATATATGTATATTTTTATGTCAGTTCAGTTATGTAAATGTCTGTACTCATCTGTTATACATACTTTGTTTTGTAATATTCATGAATGTCTATATTAACCACTATACATGTAATTATCTTGTAAACTGACTTTTCCTATATCATTTTATAGTGGTCTTCTGGATGAATAAACTATTCTATTCTATTCTATTCTATGATACACATAAAAGTAATTATTTTGGCATGAGCTTTGGGTCGGTTGTTATTATAAATGTTATGAATCATTTTGTTATACCTCAAACAAAAATTTGTACACATACCTCTTCATCATCTTCAGCATTCATATTCCTGGATACAGCACACCAGCCATGTGGATGTATCTGAAGGGAACTAATAACTTCAGCCTCGTTGGGAAAGTCTTCAATGAACTCTATACGATTTCTTCTTCTGGATGGAGAGAATAAGGAATTGTATATTGTTGCAACTGGAAAACATTGGTCGCTAATTTGCATCAGTCTATATAAACTGGGCTAAAATTTAAAAATATATAAGATGAATGTTTTATTACCTACAAATAGTACACATTTCAATTCAATTTTATCCACCAGTCACATTCTAGTGAATGTGACTCATGAATTACTTTCAAGTTAGAGGCCGATGTCGAATTTATAAAATAAGTTTATACATATGCTTTGTTTATTTGACGTATTATGAACACTTGTACTCAGTTTAGGTAATTGAAAAACCATATTTCGATTAGAAGTCTACACCATAAACTTCTACGCTGAAAAGTGCCTTAACAAAGGCATAAAGGGTGCTTGGATTCATTTTCGCTTGGTCATGCGTATCTAAATAAATACAAAAACTCTTAACTCATGGATCTTCACTCCAGAGGAAGATCACCTGGCACTGCCTTCAAACGCTCATGCAATTGAAAAGACAAAAAGAAAGGGATAGAAGAAAACTTGAACCATTTTGTGGAATCAGCAAATACAATCTAATGCCATGGTTCAGGAAGGAAACAAAAAGTTATCAAGGTCAAAGGCATGTGGACAATCATGTTGATAAACCACGCCGACATATCCTACTATCTATAGTATATTCCATGTATGAATGAAGAAGATGATTTGGGTAAGAGAAGCCATTTTACACAACAGACCCGCCAATTACAAATATCTGAGAAATATTGCAGAGTCTAGTATTTTTGTAGTTAAACATTCAGAGTATACTTTGAACAACGTGAAATTGATCATTAATTTCAGAGCCGATAACACAGTAATCATATTAGTAGTTCTTCTTCTTTTTGTTGTTACTTTAACGTCGGCCTATTCCTGCTACTGATTCTAACCATCGACGCCGGTGAGCACCCTACCCTCAACCGGAAATTTTGCCGAATCCTCTGGTATTCCAACCAGTGGTAGGGATCTTTAACAGCCTCGGGACCGCCTGCTCAACGTCCCCTCCGAAGGACGGCATATCCATAACATATCTAGTGCTCATTGACATGGTAGCTGTAGCTCTAATATGCTATTTTGTTACAGATGTATGGGCATACGCGACGTTTGCGTTTCCTTGAATAATGTTCACCCATCCAAGTACTAACCGCGCTCGACACTGCTTCACTTCAGATATCGAATAGCTGGTGCCTTTGGCTTACCTGAGGAGAGCTAGGGCGATGCTCCTATGTTAGTGGTCATAATTGCGAGATTATAGTTTCTTGGTGGTTGTGGCTAGTGGACTGGTAACAGCTGACTATGGATGCCAATGATAATCGAAACTGTGCCCTGATCAGTGTAATAATTCCGCATGATTTAGACACACACCATATACAGGGTGTCCCTAAAAGGTAATTACAAAAACTTACCACATATTCCTCAGACCAAAACAATTCAATACAAGCGAACTTACCACAGTACAAAGTTGCTCAGTTTGGGCGCAAGTGCGACTCTGAGGTTGAAAATTTCAATTCGTTTTTGCTTCATAACTTTGAAACGACTCATGATATTTTAGTGAAATTTGGTACGTTGGCATAGCTTCATTGGTCAATGAAAGTCATATCACGATTATGATAACTATCATTCCATGGGCGTAGAACTTGATTTTTTCAATAAATAAACAACTAAAACTTCTACAAAAAGGTACTCATGATGAGATTCGATTACTCTCATGATTTCGACAAAATTTTGATTCTAGAAATTCAAAGCATCAGTCAACACTAAAACGATTAACAGAATTTTCATAAGAATGGTTGAACATTTTCATCACTTCCATGCATACAAAGATTTATACGAAGAAAAAAAACTTAAATGTGCTATCAGCAATATTTTGTAGTTAGTTGTTGTACTGAGTAAGCCAGAGGCTTCTAGCTTTGCTTGTATTAAATTATTTTCGTCATATAAATCTCTGTATACGTGAAAGTGATGACAATTTTGAACAATTCTCATGAAACATCAGTTGATCGTTTTGATGTTAACTGATGCTTTGAATTATTAAAATTCAAATTTTGTCGAAACCATGAGAGTAATCGAACATCAAGTGTACCTTTTTTGTAGTGAACAAGTTATGCAATCCAGATTTTATATTCGAACCCCTTTCTTTCTATTGGCGTAGAAGTTTAAGATGATTATTTAATGAAAAAATCCAGTTCTACGCCCATGGAATAATATTTATCATAATCATGATATGGGTTTTATTGCCCAATGAAGCTATGCCAACATATCAAATTTGAGTAAGATCCCATGAGCCGTTTCAAAGTTATGGAGCAACCGGCTGGGTGGTCGAGAGCGTGAATGCGCTGAGTTCGTATGGGGACTCCCACCGAGACATAGGTTCGAATCCTAGTTAGGCCATGGATGTTTGTGTTTGTCTGCTTACCTAACCCCGCACAAGTTTCGACTTATGGGGCGTTTGGTCCCAGTGCTGGGACCAACGAGGTAATGCAATTGCAACAAAAAAAATGCAATTGCAACAAAAAAAATGCAATTGCAACAAAAAAAAAGACGGTTTGAAAACTTCAGAGCCGTCTAGCGCTCAAACTGAGCAAATTTTTACTGAGGTAAATTTGCGTGTATAGAATTGTTTCGGTCCGGAGAGTGAGTGGTAAGTTTCTGTAAAGACCTTTTAGGTATAAAACATTGACAGTCAATTCAAATTTCGATTTTTTTAGACTGTTCATAGATAGCCGACTGGTCACCTAACCACTTTCATTATTCATTAGCAATACCAATATCGCTAATGTGAACTCGGTCAAACACTCCCTATCTCACTACACTCTTTACTGTTAACTGGAATGTTCAAAAGTTCATCAATTTACGATTTACATGATCGAACTCAAAATCACAAAGCAGTTACTGCAACTGTTCTTATTAGAAAGATTTTCAACCTATCTAACATATCAAAGATCCAAAATATTCAGATACTATAGATGTGTTTAATCTTTCTTTGAACTATTTATTTGATGAGCACAAATTTCTCCAATGCTAATGTTACTAAGCTATTTGTTTCAGTCCACAAGGACGTATACGAAAAATTACTTAAATCCTATCCTAGGTATTCTATAATTTCATTTATAAAATCGAAATAGGATTCTTTTCCACTCCAAAGAGAAGTAGAGTGAAGAGGAGTGATCCTGAAAGATGATGAAAAAATGTTCTGCGTCACAAAGTACTTATGTAGGTACCATCAAACAATAAAGAAAATCTTCATAACACCATTTGAGTAAAAAAATTACGGAATATTCTTGTATGAACATGCTGATGGGTAAGTATGTGGGTTTACCGCACAGTTCAAACAAAGGACATGCATAAAAGTAATAAAATGAATGATTCGAGGACTATGTAAAAAATCTTAAAATATCATGACTTTGTTACTTTACAACTAGACCTTACCCTGAAAGACCTCAAATCTGTAGCTAAGGTCAACAAATTCAAGTCATGAATAATGATCATGAATCCGTTGGTCGTTGATATAACCATTTTTGAACCATCTTCCGTCAATTTCATCCTCATCAACCCGTTCATGAGAAAAACCTTGTCATACATCATATTGCTTTCATTGGGGGTCTTTAAGTTCCAGGCATAAATACTACCATCAAAGGCAGATGTAACCATCACATTATCTTTTTCTGACCATTCAATATTCTTTACCTGAAAAAAACAATTCGAAAAAATCTAATATCCATGATTTTTTTTTGAGAAATATCGTTTTCATAATCCATAATTGGAATAGATTTCCATGAAGATATTAATATATTTTTTTTACAGATAAATCTCTGGTAGAAGACCATGTTATTAGCTCAAAGTCAAGTGAAATTTTCGTATTACTTAGTAGGAAAAGTCAATTTTCCGCCTGAGTACAAAGTCAAGGGTCGAATATTAATATGGATCAGTTTTACTGATGAACTTCAAAACAAAAACAAGCAGAACATAGTCGGCCGACCACACCACTTAATATAAAACAATTCAATTATATGTAACCGGTTTTGGCACTACGGCCGTCATCAGACAAGAGTACCAGTTAATTGTTATATAAGATAATATATGAGGAGAAAAATGAAAATAAAACATACCACACAATATGGGGATCAAACGTGCCATTATTATAAAACAATCATGTGAAGAAATTTTTTTTTTTTAGAATGGAATAGAACTTTATTTACGGTTATCCATTGCATACATTATAATCACAAATATTATTACAAGATTATGAAAAGTTATGAAAAAAATATATATAAAATATATACCTATGTAAATATTCAACAAATACAAATAAACATAAATAACAAGAGAATATCCTAAATCAGTATGAATCTATCACAGTTATCACTCACAGTTGCTATATATCCTAGATCATTATGAATCTATATCACAGTAATCAAACACAGCTGTTTATAAAGGGGTACTATTAATGGTAATCAATGACTTCTTGAATAACTGAAACGAATTACTGAAAATGTCGAAATGTATACAATTATTATTGTATTCCCTTGGTATCCTTGAGAGAGGACTATGCATGCCATAATTTGTGGAATGATGGTTAATGTAAAATAGTGCTTTGTTTCTAGTCCTACTGTTTGTACTTAGCTGAAGTTCGGATACAAGTTCGTGACAGTCAATGATACCATTTAACAATTTATATAAAAAGAGCAAGTCTGTGTTGAACCTACGTTTTTCTAAAGTTTCCAAACCTGTGCTATTTTGAGTGTTGTCATAATCATGATTCCAATTCATTCCCAGTCTGAATGCATAATGCCTGAGGAATTTTCTCTGTATTCCTTCAATTGTCCCGATATCAACACTGTAGTAAGGACACCCACAGAAGCATATTCTAAGCCTGACCTAACAACTGCACAGTATAATAGTTTTAAACTATTAACTGACTTATCCTTTGTGTTTCTCATAACAAATCCAAGATTTCTATAGCCAATAGTAGCTACTTTCAAGATATGTTGTTTAAAGGTCATTTTATTATCAATCAAAATGCCTTTCATACATACACACACATACATCACCATTATTGTTTTTTGATAATGCTACTTCTGATCTCCATATTGTGTGGTATATTTTATTCTCATTTTTCTCCTCATGTGTCATCTTACATAACAGTTTAGAGGTACTCTTGTCTGATGATGAATGTAGAGCAGAAACTGTTTACATGTAAATCGCGGTCGCCAAGATCAATAGATAACGCTCCAATGACATTTAAAATTACGGGAAAACATCTTATTGAAAGTTATATGTTTTATAGCCATGTTTTATAGACAGACATGTTTTCCCGTAGTTTTGAATGTCATCGTACCCGTCATCTAATGACCTTGGCGACCGCGAATTGAATATTGTTTTATATAAAGTGTGCTCGACCGACTTTGTTGTGCTTATTGTTTTTCTTTCGAAATTACTTTGGACCACTTTCAGATATGGATGATTTTCACAATTTTCTGATGAAGTTGAAGAAAATTCAAAATCAATATTCTTACCCAATTTGAGTGTCCATGCAGAGTCTGAATGCAAGATTGTACTTTACGTATATCCCATATTTTGATTGAAGTATCGTCGGAACAAGTGGCGAAATGTTTATCATTCAAGAACCTAAAAAAAAATCAATTGTATAATAGTTATGTATACAGCGTAGTAGTAAAAACTATCATTATCACCCACAGGGACGAAGATTATATCCAGGCTTTAGCAGAGGGATATAAGGTCCTGTGGTAATGATATTCTTCACTACTAAGGTGTATATTATATGTTTTTCCACCACCAGCTATTTTACTCGCCCTTCTCAAGGCTTAAAGTGTGTTTTTACTAGATGAGTTTTTTTCTCAAACAGTAATTGTCATACATTTCTTTGTTCCCCTTTCTCCACATTTTGGCTGTTTGGGTAGTTGAATGCTCGGATTATAGTTGGCTATGACTTTATGAACCACTAAATAATGAAATGGAAACATTACCTTCGTAGTGAGATACCAGAAATACCAGTTCACGACTCCGAAAGCAGTGGCGGCTCCTCAGAGGAGGCAACGGAGGCTGGACCTCCTCAAGAATTTCCATACATTGAATAGTTCGATGTTCTTGTATAAAATATTACACCGAAATAGCTAACTTACGTTCGTTTTATCGGTTTTATTTCCTGAAATCGAGAAGAATTTGAGAATTTGGCAACAATGCTTTTATTATTAAAAGTATTCAGAATAGAATACAAATTTGCGACTTGGCAACATCCAAAGGAAAGCAGCCTCTGACCAATGAATTTCGCCAGAATGAGATGTATAAGTATACATATATGGTGTTTGCCTCGGTGTTTGCGCTGATGCGCTTTTGTTTTGCCCAAACTTGACGGCAATAAACAGTTGAAACACGCAATATAAGGTTCTTGTCATGGTGGAAAAATTCCACCATGGTTCTTGTTACATCTTATTCAGATCTTCTTCTGATAGATGTCGTTGTACGAATTCTCTTTAAAATGAAAATAGAAACTCAATTATCAGAATTTCATTAAATACGAGTTAAATACCATCAAACATGAACCTACTTTCACCATTTCTGTTTTTTTTGTCCTAAGTGTAAATGACTGTTGTTATTTGGTCGGATGGCCATTAAAAATATGGTAAAAATATGACGATATCACCGCCTCTTACGGATTTTCTATGAACAAGAACCTCAAAAGTAATGTCAGTTTTTTTTTTTTTTCGTAGAATTACATTCACACTTCCTATTCAACCTCTCCTGTTTAATGGAGCATGAGCCGCCACTGTTCGAAAGGAGTGAATAATAGTTCAAGGGCTAGTGGTGGATAAAACAGTTCAGGTTCAGGCGGATTTAGGTTGAAACAAAAAACATATTAGTTACCTCACACAGTTCACACAATTACGATGTGCGTTTTCAACTTTACTGATCAACTTTTGATTGGAGGCATCAAACAATAATACTTGCTTTCCTTCACAGGCAGAAACCAGTAATTTCCTGAAAGAATTAATGTCTTTACAAGGTATGTAATGTGAAAAATAATACCTATCCAATAAAAATATTTTTTACAACGCTATTGAATATATTTCATATTGTCCTGACTAAGATCATGTTAATAGAAACTTTATATCATGCTTAATAAGGATTAGGATATATTCAAAAATATAAATAGAGTACACAAAAGAGATCAATGCCGAGTAAGTAAATAAAAGGAAGATGTAATCAAAGCTTATAGAGGAATATATCGGGACAATTGAAGGAATACAGAGAAAATTCCTCAGGCATTATGCATTCAGACTGGGAATGAATTGGAATCATGATTATGACAACATTCAAAATAGCACAGGTTTGGAAACTTTAGAAAAACGTAGGTTCAACACAGACTTGCTCTTTTTATATAAATTGTTGAATGGTATCATTGACTGTCCCGAACTTGTATCCGAAATTCAGCTAAGTACAAACAGTAGGACTAGAAGCAAAGCACTATTTTACATTAACCATCATTCCACAAATTATGGCATGCATAGCCCTCTCTCAAGGATACCAAGGGAATACAATAATAATTGTATACATTTGGACATTTTCAGTAATTCGTTTCAGTTATTCAAGAAGTCATTGATTACCATTAATAGTACCCCTTTATAAGCAGCTGTGTTTGATTACTGTGATATAGATTCATAATGATCTAGGATATATAGCAACTGTGAGTGATAACTGTGATAGATTCATACTGATTAGGATATTCTCTTGTTATTTATGTTTATTTGTATTTGTTAAATATTTACATAGGTATATATTTTTTTCCCATCTTGTAATAATATTTGTGATTATAATGTATGCAATGGATAACCGTAAATAAAGTTCTATTCTATTCTATTCTATAATATGAACCAATTCTAGGGACAGAGATGTTAACTTCAAAATTTACATTTTTTTTCCTCAATGACGCGACGTCTGACAGCGGCTGTGTTCTTTCGTTTCTCCTCTTGTCTCAAACGAACTATCTCACAATGTCTCAATTTACGAAGTGGCACTTTTCCTACGTTACCATGACACCAAAACATATCGATAGATTCAGTCTCCATTCATTACATCACAATACAAGACATAATAGAGATATCAAACTCATACTCCCCTCATCTACTCTCATTAAAAATTCCTTCATTTATAATGGTGGCAAAATTTACAATCATCTTCCTAATGGTATAAAGGACATTGGACCATCCAATGCATTCAGGAAAGCTGTGAAGCATTTATTATCAGATAGACCCTATTATTGTTTAGATGAATACTTTACTGATTCACTGGATCTGTGATATAATTATTATTATACATTACCTTAAAATATGATTTTATTTCAATTTATTTATGTAACATGTTTGTCAAGTTTAACTATTGTTTGTATTATTATTAGTGTAACATTATTTTAATATTTTACTATTTTATATTGACTTAGGTACTGTCAACCTACATGCTTTGTAACCATGATGTATTTCGTGTAACAATAAAGTATAATTCTCTCTCTCTCTCATGTTGGAAGCAGTATGCAAAGTAAAGTGATGCGCAGTACATACTTCGCGCATTGTATGTTAACTATATGAGATTTTTGCATTTAAACTTTATGGTCTTCAATCGAGCCAACATCTAAGAAATCATTAATTTCTGAATGTTTAATAATAATTGAGGCCTCTTAACCCAGTTCCAGTTTATTTTTTATATTAATCTAAGCATATTACTACTTTATTTATTTATTTATTCATCTGTAACAAAGCTCTGAAGATGCTAGGGTTTATCAAACGATCAACAAAGGACTTTCCGAGGGACTGTCATAATATTATTGCGTTGAAATCCCTTTACTTTTCATTTGTACGCTCTCAACTTGAAAATAGCAGCTCATATCACGAAAATAGAGAGAGTTCAGAAACGTTTTTTGCATTATATTGGATTCAAGCTGGGTATTCCTATGGAGCAATTTAATTATGACAATATTTTAAATTGCCTGAACATAAAAAGCATAAAAGAGCCTAGAAGCAACACTGGTATCATCACTATTCAAAAATATGTTATGATCAGATTGATATTCCTGAATTATTGGCCTCCCTCAAATTTCATGTTCCTCAAAACCTATTACCTTATAGCAGCACATTCAATTCAGAAACTCATATACTATATATGCAAACAATAACCCAATGAACAGGATGATGACACTGAGTAACAGATTGAACTGGGACATTTTCAACACTGGCACTGAAAGAGCCAAACGAATTCTTCCCCTAATGTAATGTCTTTATATTCAATGTACATTGTATTTAATGTGTATATATGTATAAATGTATCTTCATCAATGTTCTGTGATATCTTTAGGAATATGTTGTATAGGCTATATATTTATGTTTTTTATTTACACTGTCAATAAATAAATAAATAACTTTAGAACTATGTTTTTTGACGTTTATATAAAAAATGTTGTTTGCAAGTCATGTGCGAAATACTTTGGCTCATACTTTGGTCATCTGGACTTTATTTTTAACTCCCCTGAGCCTCCTTAAAAAAATCTGTTCTTGATCACCATAGCAGCATTTCCCGCACTATTATCATTATTATTTTTTAAGAAGTCCTAATTTGAAAGCAGTTTTCAATAAATGACTAGACAATAATATCTCAATATCAACATGTATGTAGTATAATCATTTATTTTAGTATAAATGGAGCATAACCATCTGTTTTAAGGTGATAGACAATGATTTGTTTCATATTCTCAGTTTTGTCCTTTTGAAAGGAATTATCAGCTCTATTCAATGGTAAATAAGCAAATATGATGTTCATGAGAAAATGAAAGTTGCATGGTAAATCTGTGAGAATAATGAAGATATAATATTTCTGACAATCCCAACTTCTTTGTCATGATTAATTATCTGTTTACACAAGATTTTTCAGTATTTTATGTCTAATTTGATCAACTTTGTATCACTTTACAATTAGTTTTTCTCAAAGGGATGAGAATGAGGAAAATTTCAAGTACCCATTTTCTTTCTTCATTCCACTTATCTGATAGTAAATGTTTTTATTATATGAACAATCAAATACATTGAACCCTCCATAGATATATTCCAGCATAGGTTTGAAAAAAGCTAAGAAACATATTGTTTTCATTTTTAGAGATAATTCAGAATAATCAGTGACAAATTATGGTAGGAACTTTCGAGTTTTTCTGTATATGGAATATGGATGCCTACCTACCTACTAATTTTACCATCATAGGAGCCATCACAGTTATTCTGAACCAAATTGAACCATAGATTTGAGACAAAAAGAGAGTAAGGAATTGTAATAAAAAAAGATAAACATAATCAAACAGTTGAGTGCTTAGTTGAGTGAACTTTCGATTTTCCTCAGAAGGAAGATACTGAAGAAGCTTGTAAAGTACCCATTTTTCTTTATTCTATTCATTCTTTATTCCACAAATCTAATAGTGAAAATTTGATATACTTTCAATATATCTATATTTCTCTCTTTCAAACATTTTTTCAAACAAGGTGTCACTGATGATTGATTGGAATCTTCAGGCTCTCTAATAGTGCATTTTTTAAGCATAGTGATATTTTGGGGCAAATCATCTGATTTGTCCTTACTACAAATAATTTATTGAAATAATATTCATATTTTTATTCATTGAAACAAGCAGAGAAAATTCCAATTAATTTGGATAAATTAAAATAGGTACCTATAGCATGATCCAAAGCATGATTGATATTATCCAATTGATGCTTATAGGTTTATGGAGGAAAGCCTCTTTTCAGACTCCTCAATTCCATAGTGAACCATGGTGAACTATGAAAAATTTACTCAAAAAAACAAAAACATGTATTTCTGTACTCTCAAAGATGTGGCCCTATGTGAGGCTCAGTTATTATATTTGGTAAATTGTTTGGTAATTTGGTGTGCTAATTTGAGTTGTCCATATGAGATGCATTAATTGATATGCTTGGTAGTAATAAAAAATCTTAGAAATAGTCAAGGGAATAGTGAATAGTTATACTTTACCCATCAATGCTGAATTCCAAATTGAAAATACCTCCCAAATCATTCTTCAATACCTTGTCATGATCTCCCACTTGGAATTGATTCAAATTATTGTATAACTTGAATGCAATGAGATCATCTAACATAAACTTCCGTAGACCCAATTTTGTTTTCTCAACTATGCTCAGGAAACTTGTGTTGCATCTCACTTTGCTACTGGTTCTGTTAGGACCAAATGCCTCTGTGGGAACCTCTGAGCTGTCACTTGAAGAACTCATTATTTCTTCACTGACATTTATTCTGAAAATTTGTCTAAACACTGTTTTTTATAACCATCTGATTATTATTATTCTATTATTAGTATGAGCACTTTCTCAACTTATCACTTCTGCATGCCAGGCTTATGTGATTCATACTATTATGACTGGGCAAGGTAATCAAACATTACATACCTACTAGAAATGCAATAAAATTTCCGTATTGTTGAATTATTACGTTAAATTAATTAATCATTAGAATAATTATACATAACATTATTGTTTACGAAATGCCTAATGTCAAAATCGATTCGACATTAGACCATAACCTTCAATACTTCTTCTTTTTTTTCTTGACTTGCAATGTAAATGTAAATGCTTCATAGTACTTTCTCCTCACTCTGTCTTCTCTTCAAAGGACGTAGAGATCAGGGTTATACAGATTACAGGGTGTATCAGTTCACATCTGTTTCAATATAATAATATACCTCATACAGTATCCTATACAGGGTGTCCCTGAAAAGTGTTTTTCAAAGACTCGTCACCACATATTCCTCATCCTTGATACAAGTAAATCTCAGTCAGAAATAAGTTACCAAAGTTTCTTAGTTTGGGCGCTAGATCGACGTACCTACCTATATACAGCTCAAATCGTTGATGCCTTCGATCATTTGCTTCATAACTTCGAAAACGGCCCTTGAGATTTCATTCAACTTTATTGGTACTTTAGCATAGCTCTATTGGGAAATAGAACCCACATCATGATATAATGATTATATATAATGATGATTATATACAGGGTGTTTCATGAGCAGACTCACATAGCCGAATGGTTGATAGGGGAAATCAAGACAAGTTGATGACGTTGATGTATATACAGGCTGATTCACGGTGGATGGCACATTAGATGTTTCTGGTGAACCAGACAACGGATCATTTTGAAAATCCGATGGAGGGCATATTCGGACATTCTCTAGCCAACTAAAATATTTTCGACAATGCGGTGTTGCCGCTTCTATTAGAAAGCAGTAGCAACTTTGATTTTTCAAATGGAACACTCTGTATTTTATTGCATTTTTAGATTCTCCCTGAAGAGCTGATTTCATCGGTGTATCACACTTGGGGTCTAGCGGAAATGATTACAGAGATATAGGGTGTGAAAAATCGACATTTTTCAACTTTAGAATTTTTTTGTGTCGAAACTATTCATCATTGGTCAAAACGGCTCACATGTCCCTATCTCAACTGCTGATTAACTATCTACTGATATTTAATTGGGACATATACCGGGTGATCAAGATTCTGAATTTTGCACCACCCTGTATTTGTTTCAATTAAATTTCAGTAGATAGTTGATCAAAAGTTGAGATAGAAACATGTGAGCCGTTTTAACCAATAATGAATAGTTTCGACAAAAAAAAATCCTAATGTTGAAAAATGTCGATTTTTCACACCCTATATCTCTGTAATCATTTCCGCTAGACCCCAAGTATGATACATCGATGAAATCTGCTCTTCAGGGAGAATCTGAAAATGCAATAAAATACAGAGTGTTCCATTTGAAAAATCAAAGTTGCTACTGCTTTCTAATAGAAGCGGCAACACCGCATTGTCGAAAATATTTTAGTTGGCTAGAGAATGTCCGAATATGCCCTCCATTGAATTTTCGAAATGATCCGTTGTCTGGTTCACCAGAAACGTCTAATGTGCCATCCACCGTGAATCAGCCTGTATATGAAAACATTTTTTGACCCTCCATAACGAAGATACAGGGTATTATGTGAAATTGCTATATAACTTTGATCGTCGATAGTACAGAAATGATTCGTCGTAATCTACTGAAATTTGGCAGCGACGTATCACTACTGAAACTATTCAAGATGACATATTATGAAAAAAAATATCCAGGTCCGGACTTGGGAAAATTTTATGTTTTATTGTTATGTCAAAAAAGTTCACTTTGTGACCACTTTTCTCGAAAAATTCCATCAGATTGAGAAAGATCAGACAAAATTCTATGAGAACTGCTCTTCAATTTACACAGCACACTTTGTCCGGTTCAATAAAATAATATGGAACAGAATCGTTCGAATGAATTTTGAATTTTGACCTGGCTGATAACTGTCAACTTTCAACTGGTATCATGTGAATTGATTTTTCCTACATTTTTGTTGAATAGTAATTGACAGAAGAATAGACGAGAAGAAAAACACGATATTTTTTTATCGGAATTCCAGATAGATATTATTATTCCTGACTTTGTTTTATGGGTGTCGCTTGAAGTGAGATATCGAGTAGGTCCGGTTTCTCATTTGTGTGACGAGACGTGACGTTTGTTGATAATCCGAACTGATAGGTAGGTACTAGGCTAGTACTAGGTAGTAGGTAGGTACCATCTGATGAAATTACGACATGAGGATTCATGTGCCCATATTATGGTGATTTATCAAATTAGTCATGCCATCACGCATAAACTTAGCTCCATTTTTTGTTATTTATACACTTCTGCAAGTGACATAAGGATATGCCTCGGGATATGCATTTGCTATTTATTCGAAATTCCTAGTTCATCATCGTGAAGATTTTACTGCAACGTATTCTTGGGTCTGGGAACATTCTATGGTATTAAACATTTTCGTCTTGTTCAGCATTTGGAATATGAAGTGGCACCTAGAGTGTAAGAATATTTCGATTACCAGTGTTTACCTATCAACAAACGTCATGTTACATAAAATGAAAACAGGGCCCACTTTATAATAGATTTATAAAATAGAGTCACGAGTAATCATATCTATCTAGAAGTTCGATCAAAAACTAACATGTCAAATCATTAAAGAATCAGTACTAATCTCTTCTGTCAATTTCTATACAATGAAAATGTACGAAAAATCAATTTACACGAATCCAGTTAAAAGTTGAGGGTTATCAGCCAGGTCGAAATTGAAAATTCATTCGAACGTTTTTGTTCCATATTTTTTTGTTGAACCGGTCAAAGTGTGCCGTGTGAATTGGAGAGCAGTTCTTATAGCATTTTGTCTGATATTTCTGAATCTGATGGAATTTTTTGAGAAAAGTGGTCACAAAGTGAACTTTTTTGACATAACAATGAAATATAAAATTTTACCAAGTCCGGACCTGGATATCTTTTTCATAATCTGTTATCTTTAATAGTTTCAGTAGAGGTACGTTGCTGCCAAATTTCAGCAGATTACGACGAATCATTTCTGTAATATCGACCATCAAAGTTATATAGCAATTTCACATAATACCCTGTATCTTCGTTATGGAGGGTCAAAAAATGTTTTCATGTATATACATCAACTCGTCTTGATTTCTCCTATTAACCATTTGGCTATGTGAGTCTCCTCATGAAACACCCTGTATATCTATAGGTAAATCTAAATTTAGATTTCGTAATTAGTTTTTACTACAAGAAAGGTAAGTACTCTTGATAAAATTCGATTACTCTCATGATTTTTGACAAAATTTAAATTTTAGTAATTCAAATAAGCAGCAATTGAAATTGAAACGATCAACAGATATATGTCATAAAAATTGTTCAAAATGTTCATCATTTGCATTTTATACAGAGATTTCTTCGACAAAAAAATGGATATAAGCAAATTCACCTCCCAGTAGGTACATATATGCACAGTAAAAAAAACGCTTCGAGTTAAATTCGCAGAGTATGTTTTTAGAGTTGAAATACTCTGACAAACTCACTCTGATACTGCAATTCAACTCTATAACTACACTTCTCGCAGATTATCTCCTTTGAAACTAATTCTAGATTGAATTTCCACTGATCCCGTATTGAATTCGCTCTATATTCCTGAAATATCAATAAAATACCAATTCAGATAACCTATTAATTCACAAACAATTGGAATATTGAAGTCATACTAGTGTTACTGAACTTGAATGTCCCACTCTTGTCGATTAAATTGACACTCTATATCATAGTTCAATTCAATGAACGATGAAATATCTAAAATCTATACAGTTTTAGATCGTTTAGTCTATATACTGGATAGTGAAATAAGTAATAATGATCATAGTGTCGACAATATTATGATCATTATATTAACTTTCAGTAGCTTTTTTACTGCGTTGTGAGAGATTTTTTCACATTCACATTCACATTGAGTTAGTAACGAATTTTCGTATATCTTAGTTTTTCCTTTTTTTTTTTCGTTTCGAATCATTATTGGGAACGATTGATAAAACAGATAGGTTAATACTAATTAGGTAGTCTAGTGTGACTCGAGTCATTTTTCAAATATCATAAGATTAAAATATTATAACTTCACACTATACATCTCAATGAGGTCATTTTTTGCATATGGAGGTTCGAAAGCATGAGAATATGAAGTTATTTATTATTTGAAGAATGTTTTGGAGTGTCTCAGAATGTTCGATACTGCCTCTAATAATAGTGTGATCTTACGTTTTCTAAAATGCGATTCAAAAGACATATATGGTTTATAGGAACTTTCAGTCCTAAAAGGAGCCAAGTAATCGATCATATTTCTTCCAATAATATTCGGGAATGTTTCAGAATTTTTCAGAAAAGGGTTTAGAAATTTTCCAGAATGTTCGAAAATGGTCTAGAATGATGTGATGTATTCTATCTGAGTGTTCTGGAGAATGCGAAAATTTTACACCTCAACTCTGTTTCTTATGATCTACGACAAAGCACAGATATACGGCTATTTTCAGAATACTGTTCTCATGTATGGGGCTCAGCACTCAAAAATACATTGATGCTCTTATATAGATGCCATCCAGAGAAGAGCCATTCGCCTAGTGGGTGATGCCAACCAGGAGAGGTACTATTTCCCTTGTGTCCACAACGCAAGACCACCAACTTTCTGGCGAGAAATAAAATTATTTTTCGATAGAATTTCAATTTTTCCTACTATGACGTTTTTCAATGAGTTTTCCACTAATTTGCGAAAGAAACCTCTCCTGCCATATTGAAACAGACGAAAAAATAGAATGAAACAGTTGATTAGCAAAGGCGCAGTATGGAACCATGTTCATTAGTCTGAAACAAATGTCTTCTCTTGCGAATAAGCTGAATAGTGTAAATGTGATTTCAAAATATTGATATATAGGGTGTTGTTTCGACTCAAAACCTACTCATTAATTT